AGGAGGGGACTGGAGCATCTCTCCTGCGAGGAGAGGCTGAGGGAGCTGGGCTTGTTCAGGCTGGAGAAGAGAAGGCTGAGGGGGGACCTTCGAAATGCCTCTAAATATCTGTGCCCCCCTTACAGCCCGCAGCTCGAGGGGAGCCTCAGCTCCCCTGTGCAGCTCTCATCTGTCGCCTGCTGGCTGTAATTCCATTCAAATGACGTCGTTAGGCCTTGCAGCGTTCTAATTTTTATTTAGGTAAGTTTCTGCAAGGTCAGCTGCAGTTTGCCATCAGGGAGCGCGTCTCAAAGGCTGGCGCTGAACAGGAAAATGAATCATAGAATCATAGATCCGTAGGTTGGAAAAGACCTCTAAGATCATCAGGTCCAACCGTCACCCCAACACCCCCACATCTGCTAAACCATGTCCCCAAGTGCCACATCCACACGGTGTTTGAACCCCTCCAGGGATGGGGACTCCACCACTGCCCTGGGCAGCCTGCTCCAAGGCCTGGCCACTCTTCCAGTGAAGAAAGTTTTCCCAATCTCCAGTCTGAACATCCCCTGAGACAACTTTACGTCCTGTCGCTGGTTACTTGGGAGAAGAGGAGGGAGATGGAAGAGGCAGCCTTGCACGCAGGTGGCCAGCACCTGTGGCCATGGGCAACCCCTCTCCCAGGCAGCAGCACCTCTAAATCCTCGGCGACCGGCTCAGGGGTGCACGGCTGCCGCCCCGCAGAAGCCAAACCCATCGCAGCACCTTCAGCTCGCCCTCCTCCCCACTCTAACTGGGATGCAGGATTCCCTTCCCTCCGCAGGCAATGAGCTCCGCTCTTAATTAAGTCAGAGCATGACGAGTGTCCTCGCCGCTGAAGATGCTGACCATCTCAGCCCTGGGACAAGAGGGTCCTTGGCAAGGAACTGCCAGGCTTGAGCGATAAGCTTCCGCGCGATGGCTTCAGCTCGGAGGCGATGGGTCAACGGGTCCGTGGCTACAGCTACGGGGCCGACGGCTCCTTTTCACCTCCCAGAAGCTTTCCCGACGGAGGGGAGGCACAGCACGGCTCCCCGCTGCCTCCGGGCTCTACAGAGCCGTCACCCATCACCCTTCCAGCGTCCAGCTCTTACGCCCAGCCCCGTACATCTCCTGTTAGCTGATACTCCAGTTTGTGAGACCTCAAACCCTTCTCCTCTGATCCTTTGCAGGGAGGGTCACGTATAAGGGGGCTCGTAAGAAAGATGGGGACGGGCTTTTTAGCAGGGCCTGCAGCGATAGGACAAGGGGTGATGGCTTTAAACTGAAAGAGCGGAGATTCAGACTGGATTTAAGGAGGTAATAGTTTATGCTCAGGGTGGTGAGACCCTGTCCCAGGTTGCCCAGGGAGGTGGGAGATGCCCCATCCCTGGAACCATTCCAGGCCAGGTTGGACGGGGGCTCTGAGCACCCTGAGCTGGTTGGAGATGTCCCTGCTGGACTGGATGGCCTTGAAATGTCCCTTCCCACCCAAACCAGTCTGTGAGTCGATGATTCTACGATTCAGCCCACAGCACTTTGCTCCAGAGCCCGTCCGCAGCTCACAGAAGGTTTCTTGGGGGGGGGGGGGGGGGGGGTTGGTTAGAGACCAGCACGATGCTGCGCTGCCCTCGGAGGGTCCCTCCTGAGAGCCCACTGCAAACCCAGCCTCCCAGGTGGGCTTCTCCCCACTTCACGGCATGGTTTCGGCCGCGCTCGTGCCACCGTGGTGCTTCTCCTTCCGCTGCGCTGCTCCCACCCTTTTAAAGGCTCCGATTCCTCATGCACCAGTACAGGCTGGGGCTGACCTGCTGGAGAGCAGCTCTGCGGAGAGGGACCTGGGTGTCCTGGTGGACGACAGGGTGACCATGAGCCAGCAGTGT